CAGGTAGTTAAATAAATGTTTTTGCATTGAATTTATTGTTCTTTGAACTATTAAAAAATATTTTTTTATTTAGTTAAATACATTTTTATTTTAATATAAAATGTATTTGTAGTAGACTCTGTGTTATCTATCGACCTTGCACGTGGAGTCCTTAAAAGTCATCTGAAATTTAAAAAGTCAAGATTTTTTTGAAATATATAAATGTATTAGTTTCAGTTAAGCGTACAGAAATTTTAATGTCTTCATTATTCGTAAAATGGCGCATTTTTTAAAAAAATTTCAAAATTTTTCAAAAAAAAAAAACCGTTTTCGTACAAATCATAAAAATAGGAAATTTTAATTGTAAAAAGAAATCTGTACGCTAAACTGAAACTACATTTATATATAATACTTAAAAAAAATCTTGGGTTTTTTAATTTCAAATGACTTTTAAGGATCCCAGGTGCAATAAAACCGATAAATAATGCAGAGTTTACTACAGACACATTTTATATTAAAATAAAAATGTATTTAATCAAATAAAAAATATTTTTTAATAATTCAAAGAATAACAATTCAATGCAAAAACATTATTTATCTATCTGCTTTATGGATGTTACAAAAAATTCGCAAAAAGGGCTACTTTTTAAGCCGTTACAGTATTGATCCCCTTTAAACAATTAACATATTTAAACTAGGTTTTATACTATTTCTATATAAAACTTCTATTAAAAATTTACAGTATATAACTTTATTATGTCATGAAATTGTTTGTTTTCTTGAATTTTTTTTGTGTATTTTTGAAATTTTTTTCTTCAGCAATTACATTCCTACATAATTTTATCATATGTCATAGGTTCATAATTATATGTATAAACATTTGTATTATTTGTACATGTTTAAATGATGTTTTCATTTGTTTTGGAATAAATATACACCCTAGTTTTTTAAAAAGTATTAAAATTTACCGGAGCACATCACAAAAGTTATGGATCTAATTTTAATACTACTGTTATATAATTTTTCGCAAATAGTACACTGTAAAAAAAAATAGTCAATCTAACAGATAATTTAGTTCAATACGCACAACAAAATATTTATTTAAATAAAGCAAAAATATATTTAAATTGATAAAGTACCTACTTAATTGTAGATAGCATATTTTATTGATTTAAATATATTTTTACTTTATTTAAATAAATATTTTGTTATGCGTATTGAACAACATTATCTGTTAGATTTTCACATTTCATCTTTTTACATTATTAATAGCCAATATTAATTTTTTTACAGAATTATTAAAAGTTTTTGTTACATTTGCAAGTAAATTTACAAAATATTTGAATAGTATTTAAAATTAGTTATGGATAATATTAATAAAAAAAGTAAATTTTCTAGACAACTTCGAAAGAGATTAAATCAATCTTTAACTATAATCAATATTCTTAACCCTGATACTTTTGAAATAGAAACTAATAACTCACAATCTAATACACCAAATATTTTTGAAAGTAGCTCAAGTAGCAAACCTGATACTAATATTGACAATATTTCTTATAATAATAATAATAATAATAATAATAACCTAAATAATAATAATGATATTGATGTATTTATTAATACAAGAAATTTTAATTGTGATAACGTTCAGAGTGTCGACATATCAAACACTAATCATGCTGTTATATTATAGTTGAAAATAAAGAGCATGTTTTTGAGTCAAAGTTAAAAAAATGGGCCATTTATGAAAATGTAACTCACTCAACCCTTAATAATTTGTTAAACATTTTACGAGAAGAAGCCGGCTATAATTATTTACCCAAAGATGCGAGAACACTTTTAAAAACGCCAAATAATACACATGGAAAAAAACTAGGATCAGGATTATACTATTATTTTGGAATAAATGAAACTTTAAATAACTTATGTAATAAACAAAATGTAAGAATTGAACACAATGAAGAAATTTTACTAGCAGCAAATATTGACGGTCTACCTCTATCTAAAAGTACGAATAGCTCTTTTTGGCCAATATTATGTACTGTCAAATCAATTGACAAAATTAAAAATAAAGTTTTTTTAGTAGCTTTGTATCATGGCACTGTAAAACCCAATGTAAGTGAGTTTTGTACTGATTTTGTAAACGAATGTATAGAATTATCAAAAAATGGAATATACATCAATTCTATAAGATGCTATTTCAAGTTGTCAATGTTGATTTGCGATACACCTGCAAAATCACACATTTTAGCTATTAAAGGACATTCGGGTTATTTTTCGTGCACCAAATGTGATATAGAAGGAGACATGATTGATAAAGTACTGTGTTTTGTCGATTTTGAAAATCTCCGAAAAAGATCAGATTATTCATTTCGAAATAAAATTCAACCTGAACATCACATTGGCACTAGTATTTTCTTAAAGATTCCAAATTTTAATATTATTGATAACGTTCCTATAGACTATATGCATTGTCTTTTACTTGGCGGTACAAAAATTTTTTTTGTAACAAAAAGTATGGATGGATTTATGGTAGACCTCCATATAAGTTACGTGCTCGTGATGTTAGTAAAATTTTGAACGTCTTTTAAGATTGAGGAGTCATATTCCGTGTGAGTTTTCTCGAAAAACTCGCCCTATTACTGAATGCAAAAGATACAAAGCAACTGAATTTCGATTACTTTTGCTTTATACTGGCCCAATAATCTTAAAAGATATTATATCTTCCACGATGTATAATAATTTTATTGTACTTAGTTTAGCTAGTTCAATATTGATCAATCAATATTATTCTTCCTATGAAAATTATATTTCATATGCTCATAATCTATTTAAACATTTTATCAAAAATTCGCAAAAATATATGGGCCAAATTTTATTTCGCATAATATTCATAACTTTTTGCATTTGAGTGATTGTGTTAGATTATTTGGTTCACTCGATAATTTTAGTGCCTTTATATTCGAAAATTATATGCAATGTTTGAAAAAAAAATTCAAAAATCTTCTCACGCGTTGGAACAAGTTGTACGTCGAATTATCGAAGAAAAAAATGTTACGGAATTTGAATCAATTAATACTTCTAAAAAATACTCTATAGAACACAATGGAGGTCCTTTAATCGAGGGTTGTACTTCACCTCAGTATAAAAAATATAAAACTATTAATTATTGTATACATGTTTCAAAAGAGGCTGATAGGTTTATTGAACTTAAAGATAAAACTATCGTTGAAGTAAAAAATTTTTGTTGCTATAAGAATTTTGAAATATTATTAGGATACGAATATAGAAGACATAAAGACTTTTTTACTAAACCATGTTCGTCATCTTTTTTTGATATACAATATATTCGAAAAATCGACAGTTCACTCAAAATGTGGCCTATTACACACATCAATAAAAAATTAGTAGTTCTTATTTACAATAATCAATATGTTTCATTTCCAATGCTGCATTTATAAATCGAAATGCTAGAATTAGCTTCATTTGAATTAAGTGATTTAAATCGTAGTTTTACTTAACTGCGTTTTGAAAATAATTATTTTTAATAAACTTATATTAGTAAATATACATTTTTAAGATAAAAATAAACTTTCTAGTTTATATTAAAGTGAAACTTTATCAAATAATATGCAATATTTATGTTGTCTAGTAAATTTATGTTTTTATGTAATATATTTATTATGTTTTGTAACTTTATGTTATAGAATTATTTTCTTTACTCAAGCAATATAAAAAATTTTAACATATAACGTATATTAACTTTACTTGCAAATGGGTTGGTACGTCGTTAAGTTTGCAAATGAAGATACGGTTGAAGCAATACCAAAATCTTGGTACTTAAAAAATACAAAAGAATGCAATTGGCCCTCATCGCATTGGACTTCAAGGAAAATTAATGAATTTATAAAATTCAAGAAAACGCCAGAATCTGATTGGAATCTTCATAAAGTTGACATTTTAGGTAGCTATGGTAAGATGAGTATTTTATATATTTTTTACTTATATAACTAAACTATCTTTTTTATTGAAATAAAATAAATTAATAAAATAAAAGAATTAATAAATGAAAAATTAAGAAACTATTTTGCAACTAATTAAACAATTTACAAATAGAGACAGCGATTTATTATAATAATACTTTATTTATGCACAGTCATAAAAGTCTTCAAATCTTATTTTTAGAAGATCTATCTGTTGCTCAACGGAAAGCAAATAAGGCTAAATATACGTCTGATCTTTCGTCGCAAAATGATAAATGTAGGAAACAACATAGTAAACCAAAAGGGAAAAGAAACAAATCGACGAAGTATTTGTCTGACAATGACTCTTCTGATTTGTCACAGTATGAATCAGATATTAATAGTTATCCTCCCACAAGCCCTCTTATATCAAGTGGTAAGCATTTATTTTCTCTAAAAATATATTTTTGAGTTTCTATATAATAATTAATTTTACTATTTTTCTAGATGGAAACTTAGTTCAAAATATACCAACCGAGGTTGTAACTAAATCGACCGAATGTAACATTCCTCGAAATTTTGATGCTGGTAAATTAACACTTTATTAGTACATTTTGTATCAAAAACGGAAAATGATACTTAAGACAGGCACTGCAAACATGAAGCACAAAAGTCACTTTACATTCAAAACATAAAAAATAGTATTTTTTTCTACAATCGTTATCAAAAAAGTTTTATGCTTTGCTGAAAAAAAAGATTAAAATATTTACTTTTGTCTGTACTCCATGTGACGGTTGATTGTTTCCAAAAGATTTTACCTCTTTTTGTGATCCTCTAAATTCCATTGTAGTAATTGTGTAATATAATTCTAGTAATAAACAATAATAGTCTTTTTTAGTCACAAATGATTAGTCAGTAATAATCTTTTTATAATTCAATTAGTTTAAAAATTTTAGATTTCCAGAAGCAAGTATTAAAAGAACTAAATGCTATACACTTGAAATTGAATGATGTAATGGAAAGTACGGCTCTTTTATTAAAAAACAAAAGAATTCAAGATGAGCCTACGATAACCGTCAAAGACATTCCACGTGTTGTCCATCTGTTTCCAATAAAAAATGAAAATACATTAGCTGAATTAGAGCAGTGGCTTAATGCAGATGATCAAAATAAAAAAGATTTGGTATGACCTTGAATAATTAAAAAATCGAATGCATATATATAGTGATAATTAATACTTATTAATACTTTTGTAACAATTTTAATTATTTCAGATTATTGAATTAAGTCGCGTTGGGGGCTTAAATGTTAAAGAGATCACAAGAAGAATTATGTACAAAATCTTCACAAATGAAGTTGGAATACTATACTCCTGGGAAGGAGCTAAAGGAAAGAAATCCTTCAAAAATCTAGCAATAAGTTCGGTCATTTTGGGTAATTTTTTTGCTTCTTTTGTATTGCTTCACACATATTCTATTAAAAAAAAAGTCTTTGCTTTGAATGTAATAGATTATATTTTAAAGGATAAAATTAATAATAATTTTTTATATTATTATTTATATTTTTATATAATTAATATTTTTTAATACAGTTAATGTTTTACTTTTATTTTGTACTAATTTGTTATATTAGGTGCTGTTCGATATTGCAAGAATACAGCCGATGCAACTGAAGCAGAAGTTATTAGTTTTATCAAATCTTGGCTGGTTAGATGCAAAGATCGTATCTGCAATGTCACTAAAAACGTGAAGAATGTAGCAACCGAAGGGGAAGTAACGATGAACGAAACCGATACACAAGCTTAAACAAAGAAATATTTATTGTTACTTAAGTTAACGTTTATTACGATAGTTAAAATATTTAATTTTTATTTAAACGTTCTTTGAAATTTTTATTTTTATTTTATTATGTACACTATCATCGCTTATATCATATTTCTTATAATGCATTTATTAATTTCAAAACTTAATAATTAGATAAATTATAAAATATAGCGCATTGTGTTTGTTTAAGATTGTGAAAAGCGCTACAAATTATTTAGGATTTTTTTTATAATATAACATAAAACTTTTTTTGAGTAAAGAAATATTTATGAGCGGTGTGTATACGAGTCTAAACGTCCAAAGTTGAAACATACTAAGCATATTCTATTTAATAAGAGAGTAAAGAGCATAATTAAAAATTTATATTTTATCAAAATATATGTGATAAAAAATTGTGTTTTGTATTGTTTATAATAATTCTCAAAAATATACAAAACATATATTTGTAATCTCTGCCAAACGTGCAATTTTATTTTAAAAAATATATTTAGTAAAGAGATTTAATTTTGAAGTTATAAATAAAAAAAAAATTTATAATATACTATAATTTAATCACATATATATCTTTACGAATTAATTTCCTTATTGTATGAAATACTTTTTCCATATTTCAGATATAATGAAACAATTCAATAGTTTCTTTAAAATTCTCCACTTTGTAGGGTAAATTCGGGTAAAATGGCCATACGGAAAAGATAATCTGAATATCTTTGAAAATTACTAAACAAGTGCATTATTTAACTTATAAATAAAAAAACCAGCCTATATGGCCATCTTTTCCGTATGGCCATCTTACCTGGGTTTACCCTATATTTAGTTTTTAAATATAATTTGTAATCGCATTTGTTTCAAATATAATTTATATTGTCTGAACTAAGTACTGTAAAATTTAGAAGTTTTAAAAAGTATTAAAATAATTCTTTTACAAAATAAAACTGACATACTCTTATTATAAGATTATTTTCATTCATCACGTCGATACACTGAAAAAAAAATATTTATCTAACAGATACACTGAAAAAAATAGTTTATCTAACCAAATATTTAGATGAATACGTGCAACTAAATATTTATTTAAATTAAGCAAAGATATATTTAAATTAATAAAATATACAGTTAAATATACAGTATTTTGATGATTTAAATATATCTTTGCTTAATTTAAATAAATATTTACAATTAATTGCACGTATTCATCTAAATATTTTGTTAGATTAACTTCTTTTTTTCAGTGTATCTATGTATATACTGTAGACATGCTATATACATACTTGTGGTAATATTTCACATACATATGATATGCACTGTACATACTTTTCACACTCTATGTACATACAAAAGTAATGAAATTTATATCCACATATGTATATACATAGGACATACATTGCATATCTTTGAAATATACTTATGTATATACTGTAAACATGCTATGTACATACGTATAATATGCGATGTATATACTTTTTACATTTTATATATATACATAGGTAATGAAATTTATATCCATATATGTATATACATAGGATATACATATTTGTATGCACATTTAATATACGCTGTATGTACTTTTCACATTCTATGTATATACATAGGTAATGAAATTTATATACATATATGTATATACATAGGGCATACATTACATATCTTTAGAATATACCTATGTATATACTTTAAATATGCCATGTACATACATGTGGTAATTATTTCACATACATTCGATATGCGCTGTATATACTTTCCACATTCTGTGTATATACAGAGAATATAAAATATCCACATATGTATATACATAGGACATACATAGAATGTCCTAATGTTTACTGGGTAAGGAGGCCCTCCATCTTCTGAATAACACAAGATTGACACGAAGACTCAAGAGGATAAAACCCTTTGAACTAGTAAAGAAATGAATAAAAAGCAGATTATCTAAATAGTTAGTTAGAACCTGAGGTTCGCTACAGAGCAGAACATCAGTTTAGTAACAATTTATATAGTTAGTTTAGGACTGAACAAAATTACTCATTGACCGAATCCGATCAGATTGTAATAAAAGTACATTAATTTCCTCCTTACGGAGGAAGTGGTAAAATAAAAAAAAATATATATAATAAACAACGAACTATTTTTCTCACTTTGCGGTCGTCTTTTTGAGAGTTTAGAATCATTTGTTATAGCAAACTTGAGCAATCAACATCTGAAAGCCTTCACGTCAAAGATTTCATCTCACTTGATTTAACTGTAAGTCTATTTTTTATTTTTATTTATCTGCATTGTTAATTTTCGTACATAATGATTTTATAGACATATTAACAATGGCAGTTATCGAGATTCGCAACCGACTTCCTAACAAAACAATTAGTGAGAGATCAGTTTCGCAACCATCACATATAATGACGTTTTGAAGAATAGTTTATATATATATAATGCTCATGCTTTACGAATGCGTTGCTTTCGCTTAATTAAAAATAAATTATCTTGACTCTGTATATTTTTAGTATAATGACATTTATAAGTAATTTATTGTAAAATTTTATTAACCTCTAATTTTAATTGTATACGCTGAAGAAGGTTAAAAAAGACAACCGAAACGTTCGAACGAATTTATTTTTGTCTGTTATTTAATATGTTATACATCCTTTCACAAATAAATTACTAATTGATAGAATTTAATTAGCTCTTATTGCCTTTTAATTGTTGACTATTTCTAAAAACAAAACATTCGGCACTAGTTTTGTTTACACCTCGCGTTCGAGAGATACGCCGTGGCGAGAGAGAGGCGCACGTGAAGAGGCGCGTGCTCTCCTAGCTATCATGCATTTGCAAGAGAAGAGATGATGATGCAAGAGAATGCTCTTTTTATTTTAATTTATATTTTTTTAAATTAATTTTCTACTATTATTTTTATTAGAGAGTTGTAGCGGGTGTCGCAAAGGAAAGAAAACGAGAAGGATTAATTGTACACAATTTTTTATTATTAATAAAATGTTTTATTCATAATTATGTGTATATGTATCCCACTAAAAAAGACATCACAAATGTAGAACAAAGCGCTAAGTTATATATTTCGCCAGCAAAAATAGTTCTTTACAATAATCCAAAATATTATCTTTTCAAAAATTGTTTATAATCAATATAATTCTTTGCAAAGAATAATCACCATCAAAAATATTTTCTTAGAAATTATATTTTATTTTTCTTAATAATACTAGAAAAAAGTAAAAATATTAATTAAGAGTTTAACCAGGCTTTGTAATATAAATATAAATTTAAAGATATAAGACAGGCAATAAGAGCCAACTCGCGGATGACAGTGCGTTATCCTAACGAAACTAAATTTTTCGTTAGGATTAAGTATCTGTGCACAAGGCACCAAATTTTACTTGGTCACGGCCAAGATTTAAAATATGAAATAATCTCATATTTGAGATTTAATTTCAATAACCCTTTCACCCCCCTACAAAAATAAGTAAATGCAAGAGAAAAATATAGATCCGAAAGTCGCTGAATCGGGAATCGAACCCTTTAATATTTTTACCCTTTTAATATTTTTTCTTTTAATTTTTTAAATTTCTAATTATAATCTCTAATAAGAATTTATTAAAATCTTGTAGGCATGGAGAGAGAAGGATTTCAAAATAATTACACAATTACACAATTTTAAATATAGAAAAATATTTATTCATAAAAATGTGTGTAAATTTAAATTATATAAAATATAAATTTAAAATATATAAAATATGAACTATAAAATTTATAGAAATATAATTAAGAATTAGCATGAAACTTACTATGTATCTCTAGAAATGTAATATGCTAACATCCAACTCATCATTATTTTTCTACACAGAGTGAAAAAAAGCTGACAATGCATTAGACTTATAGGACAGAAGAAAGAAATAATTTAACCCAGATTAATAGTAAAATAATTTATTTGTTAGAAACATTATACAGAATATCATTTATAGCACAAGCTATCAATTCACAACCTACAAGTGATTCGTTGTCAAACATATTGCTTCCACATATCACTTTTTCAGCATCTCTCGCATCGCTGATATTATTTCGTTGTAGAATATTTATAAAGTGTTTAAACTTTTCGGTAACATTATGTGTATTCTCACACAACAGGAATACATATGATCAATACATTTATCGAAATCGAATAAATGTAATAAAGTTGACGGTTTTACATGCAAAGAATTATCTAATGATGTAATTTTTATAATTGTTGAATAAGATGTATTAACTTAAAATGTTAGATCTCGAATCCATAGCGGAGGCCCAGTAGTCGCTCAATGTCCACTCGTTTCTGCATTAGCAATCTCCACGGTTCAATAGGCAATATTATTTGATTAGGCACACGTATAAAAGAACATTTTAATAATTTCAAAGTACACAATAGTAATTACTCAGTCATAAGTAATCATAAATTGAATAATGGTCATGATTTCGATTGGTCTGCTCCAGAAATTTTACATCATGAGAAATACATAAGTAAACGAGAAATCGCGGAGATGTTTTTATTAAAAAATTTGACAACACAATTAATTTACAAAAAGACACGGATAATCTAAATAATGTTTACGAAAAACTAATAAAGGTCGTTTAGTTTGATCAAAATAGTGAGTATATAAGGCGCTAGAAATCGACACGATAACATAGTTATTTCGTTTCATACTATCATGTTATTATATGATGTCATATTTTAAGATCAAATTTTTGTTTTTAAAAAAGTTGTGATTTACTTTGATTTAAGAACATAGGTATGTTTGCGTATTAACGTGTGAAAGTTTCTATATATTTTATTATTTTTATATTTATTTTTCTAATAATTATTAATATTATATTATAACACTTGATATAAGGGTCGAAAACCACGGCCGAAACGTTGTGAAAATTCAATAAAATTACTTATTTGCTAGAGTTGGTCGATTGAATTATTACCATTTTTTAATTATCATCTGGTGACTTC